AACCAAATCTCCTTGCGGTCACCATGCAATCCCTCGGAGAGAGAGCGCGGTCGCCATGCAATCCTTCGATAGAAAGGCCCTTTAAGGTGCCGGTATTTGTTCAAAATCCTGGGCTGGTATCCCTAATTAATCATAAGCTCAGAGCCTGTGCTCTGAAGGTAGATATTAGTGCCCTTCCGCAGCCCCACTTTGATTAGATATTGGCACCCGATTCGGCACTATGAGTGCCCCTCCCCCACCCTCTTACCATAACACTTGCATCACGTAATGTGGCGGAAATAGCCGATTAACAAAACAATTTGAAAACAAGTGGAACCAGTGGAATTCGAATTAATCATTTCAACACAACAACAAGTTTTATTTAACACTGAATAAAATACGATTTATGACAGTTTCCCCCTAACCTGCCGCCAACTTGGTGTGTTTGTTGAGGAAATTACGGTAACTATTCGGCTTGACTACTTGACTACTGTCACGAAAAAAACGTTAGAAGTATTTTGCTTAGAAATGACGAAAATTTGTACGAAACGCCGACAGCTTTTTCGCCGCCTGTATTCACTCACCACCAGCAATCCCTGAACTTTTTTTAGGTACGGTAGAAGTGAGTTATTAGGTTTATAAGTTTTTAATATCTTCAGTGACATTCATCCGAGCATCGTGATGGTGCACATGGGTATTTTCGAGTTTTAGGAATGCCAAGTGTGAAAAAAGCCATTTCCACTAAATGGGTGTGTTCACGTCCATTACACACTCGAGCTCCAAGCTGGACTCTAAAGTAGTGGTGCAACCTGGATCAAATCCCACTCACACCTAGCTAGCTCATCACCTTGGCGTGGTCAGCCATAGGAGGATTAAGATAAATTAAGAGGTCGAATTGGTAATACACTCACAATCAGTCCAAAGGCAGACAGACTCAGGGGTGCGGGACGATGCGCATTTTGCAGCGAAGCGTTGCCTCCTGCGGGCTAGCAGAGCCATGAGCGCGCCGCTCGCGCCGCTGCCCGCCCACCCCTCGCCGTCTGAGTCTAGCTGTTCAATACATAGAGAGAGCGTTAGCAGTGAAGAGAAAAGCACCGATGCGAGTCGCATCAACCGATGCGAAGTCGGCATCAATACAGACCAAACGGGCGATAAGACGCAGTTCCTATTTTTGGGTTCTGAGCCGTCTCTAATAGTTTTTTCCTTATCCCGCACCAATGACCACCTATACCTCGATTTCCTTTTCATCTTTGACCCAGCCCTAATCTATTCAGACTGTCGTTATGGGTGCACCTACGCAGATTTTTTGCGTCTCTTTTATCAGTAACCGATGATCTGTTGATAATTTTGTCACTATTTAGATACATAATCCTCCGAAAAAGCTTATTGACGAGTACGTAGCTTAAAATAAGCTTCAAATATCAAATATAATCAAACATAAAGCGTCGTTTTTATGCGGTGGCGTGGTGCAGCACGCGGTCTGCAATGGCTCAGTTGGTACCGTTCTCCTTCGATGTGGTGAATGGATTCCTTATCCACACAACAATTACCTACTCATGGCTCCAAGCTATTGTATGGGCCTAAAGCATTAAATACAAACGCATTAAATTTCCTACTGAAGCCCCGAAGAGATCGATATAATGGCGTTGTGGGGAAAATTCAGGTTTCCTTGCTTCTGGGCATAAGTAAGCGTAGGTGCAATGTTAATAGTCATTTTCGTCAAAAATTGAAGTACTCGTACGATCATCGCACGGGTCCATGCGCTCGTAGGGCTATATAATTAAAAAGGTAGACAACATGATGGCCCAGTGTTTATTAGGTAGGATAGAAGTTCTCAAATAAGGTCACAGTCGAGAAAAGATAGTCGATCAATCTATCGAAATGATTTGAAATATCTATGCCTGAAGATCATTTACCATTGAAATAATAGGACAGTTTTCAGGAAAATCGAAATGCATGGCGTAGCCAAAAAGGACCAGGTGAATCCCAAAATGGCCAGTACCTTGAGTCCATTACACATTCAGAAATAAATAGAATAATAGATATTCACTGTCATTTTTCAAGTTTTTATAGCTTCCGTTGTAACCTTTGGTAGAAACAAGTTGACTATTTATATATAACCTCTGTAGCCTATTTATGGAAGTTTTGGTCCAAATTTTGATCCATTCAACTAGTTTATCACTAAATCGTACTATGTTGCCTAAGAAAGGTGGAACTATCGAAAACCGCATGAATCACGAGTTCTTCTGCAGAAAATCAGAGATGCTCGCCCGGCAATGAACGGGTTCTTCTCGTATTCACATGATATCCCCATGCGCCCTTGCCATGCTCGTCCAAACGGCGCCTTGGGCGTGACCGTGACGTTTGGGTTCCCACAGTACCCCCAAAGAGAGACTATTTAGACCACATTGTGATTGCTGAAGCACTATTTTTGGCTGAAGATCCATAATGGAGATGAAGCGGTGGCAGGGATGTTGGGCCGTTATCACAAGCAAGGTCCAAAGTTCGATCCCCTGCAGAAACCTGACCGGGCTGCGCAACTTTCACCCTTCTCCTAGGCCCAATATCTGATGCCAAATCAAGCCGTGAGCATAACAATTGATTCGTGCTTTCTTTCTGCCTTCTGCAATCCATTGTATGGAACACACACGCATTCCATTACCACTAAAAGTTTCAGTGAAAGTCAGACGCATGGCGCATCCCAGAATGTCACTGCCCAACATGAAGCCCTTGATCCTTGTTGTTGTCGCCCTAGAACCGAGAGTTCGTTCTTTAGTCAACCAGATTCGTCATCAAATTCGTCTAATTAGCACTATGGCAACATCTTGGTGGTGTATGCGACGAAGACGGGGCGCCCGTGGTCGATCAACGGGGGTTGACGCTTTCTGGGCCCCGCCCACCGCCGATTACGGTCGGCGGTACAAAAGCCCTTGGTCCCACTATGCTCTACAATACAAACCATCAACACGTCTGAGGTTGTGGTGAGGCAGCTGGCAGCTTCTGGCCGCTGCTCTTTTCTTACAGTAATCCGCATCGTCTTCTCTGTTTCGCCTGTATTTCCACCTACTCGATTGGAGCACAATTTAGCGATAGAGCGCGGAATTTTCTTGTTCTTCTTCGTCCCCATGTTGTATTCCTCAAAGTGCTTTTGATCGCATAATCTTTAGTTCTTTCGTTGATCTATTGCGTTTGTGCAAGATGTACGATTTGTGACAGATTGCAATCTCCGCTATTTCCAGGACAATGTTCGAAGTATTCACGCATGGCTTTTCGTTCCTTAACCTGTTGTCATTAGCCGCATTTTTCACAACCGTTGCACTGTTCTTCTGTGGAATGTGAGTTTTACCAAAAATCACCCTATAAAAAATTACCCGGATTTTTTGTCTACCCCTAATACTTTGCCAAAGATTGATTTAGCTGATTTTCAGTCCAATTTGCCGACAAATATGGAAACGACGAGACACGAAAGAGATTTCCGGAGCGCCATTTTTGATGGGAGTTCTTGGGTGAGTCAGTCGTGATTACGATCATATTCTTCGTCTGGAAAACAATTTGACCCGCGAATTGGCCGCAATAGTCTCAAGACTGCTCTCTGGCGCGTGCTTGTCTTTTTGTTATGAGATCGGGTTCGTGGCGGGCTAAATTTAGCGCGCGCGCGACACACTCGATCACAAATCTTCTTTGTATGTGGTAAACACTACGGTCATGGAACTGTGGGAATCTTACTGTAATACGGGGGATTCTTGTGTTGGGGAATATCTCCAGGGCTGGGATAAAGGATGAAAAAGGTCAATCAGGCGTTGGACGATCCGTTGCGATCAGACATCCGCCTCGGAGACATAAAAATTCGGGATGGATTTTGAAAGGGATATATTTCAGGTTGAAGTCCCAACTGACCATTGATTTCTGGCCCGGGGACAACGCATCAACCCCAGAAGGAAAAACACTTTCCGGTCCAGAACTGAGCCCGATTTGGAGGGACCCCCGTGATAAGTGGACTGCCAATGTCCGTTTTCGCGCTAAGAAAATCTGGGGATTTAAGCGAATTTTTCAGGCCCCTTTTGCAAACTCGCATCAGGGGGCGTCGTCTTTGCGTTGTTTTGGGAGCGATTCGAGGGAACCAATCTTGAGGAACCGGCATACTCGAACCTGGTTCGAGCAAAATGGGCCTCCCAAACGCCTTTACGCAGATTGGGGATATCTCAGCAGGGACCACTAACCTACTTTGAAGCCGCTTCTCCTGTTCCCATCGAAAGCCCGAGGCAGCCCTACCTTGCGACGTCTACCGTAGCGCTTACTACCGACTTGAATCCTAGCGAAAAATTAATTTTGAGCGTTTCCTCGCCGGTCGCACCAACTTAATTCTTCGTTTCAGCTGGGGCTGCTGGATGACCTACGGCTACCTGAAGAACGACCAAACTGTGCTAGTTGTCACAGCGTGTCAAGTTATACTCTACTCGACGTACTGCGTATTCTACTGGTTTATGAGTAAAGACAAAGTAAGTTGTGAAAACGGTCAATCAAACACCACCCCCTCCCCCTCCCCCTCACCCCAGGTGGAAAAGAAAAAAAATCAGGCAAACGCAAAGCACAACAAAAATTTTGGTGGGGCGGGGGTTCGTGAGAAAGTCCTCCCCCACACGCATTTCTCCCCGGGAGGGGATCCTGTTCCGTCCCAGTCATCAACGGCTGACGCGTCAGTTACGTCGTCGACGCCATCGTCAAAGTTTTTCATTACAACCATTGTTTGGATGCTGGGGCTACTCGGCACCGTACAAAGAACAATAGTAACGTACTAGAAGAACCAACCCCCCCTTTAGGAAAAACTCCATGGTTCTCGGCTAAATTAAGGATTTTTCAGTTGTGGATTACGATCAAAGTCGGAGTGGTCGTGACGATGTGCACGACGCTGATTTTGTCGGTGCATTTCTTCGGCATGAAAGTCTTCCATCCACTCGGAATCGTCTGTATGACACTGAACATCGCCGATTTTGCTGCTCCATTGGCTGGACTGGTGAGCTGATTTCTAATCCTAGACTATGCATAGCTATATAAGAGGAGCTGGAACTGTTTAGACCCGGCCATGTCTGAACGACCGGAGCCATTTTTGGCCAAATTGGTTAGGCCACCTAATGAAATGGTTGAAAAGGTTGAGCAGAGCGATTAGGATGTGCTTGTGGATGTAAAAAGAGGGGGCAAAAAGGGGTAAAAGACGACCAAGCGGAGCCGCAGTGTTAGCTGCCACAGCTAAAGCTAAAAGGGTCGTGTGCAGCGCTGGAATCAAGCTGTAGCCAGTATGGTGCTTCCCTGAAGCCTTTAGTCAGGACTGGCACAGGGGTAGGACCCTATACCAGACCACTCCAAGACAAACTCGTGTCAAGAATACATGGAAATCGAGCGTACACTGCATTACCACAACACCAAAGGGGAATAAATTATCGACTAGACTTGACTTGACTTTTGATCGGCATAGGTTCGCGTATCCTGCTCGAGCCAGTTTCTGAACTCCACATTCTTCCCTCGAGGACTCCTGAGTGTCCCTCATAGTGCCTGAAGCCCTAAGAGATTAGTTTTGAGCGTTTTGAGCCTTCGAGTTGAAGGTCTCTGCTCCCCCTTTAGCCTTTAGTTAACTGCCTGAGGGATAGCGACCTTACCAGACCTTACCATACTAAACCTGGTTAGGAGTACCATGGGAACTGAGGCAACTCTGAATTAACCACCGCAGAGGGTTGGGTGGAATCTCGGCTGTCTCGAGTCCAAGAAATCCTTTACTGTAAACGAGTGTCAGACCCCCCCCCCTCAGAGAAGATATGGCCTTAGGGAGGCTACAAGCCCGTAGGGCTGCCTCCCGTGGCCATGAACGAATACTGCGGTTCAAAATCCAGGCCGAAACATCTCAATCTCCCTGCCGCCATCTCTCTGCTGCTTCCACAGACCATGTAGCTCGGTCTAACAGCCCCGCGAGAAAAATCTCCCTTGAGGTGTTAAAAAATTCAATTTTCAATTTTCAGCGAGTAGTGATCCGCCGTGGTGCGACGTCCACCCTACCGCTACCTCTTTGTATCGCCAACTTTTTGGTCTCATCCGAGTGGTTCTTGTACGGAGTTCTTGTTCGAGACGTCTACCTCATTGTAAGTCTCTGGACATACCTTCTTCCATTTACCAGGCTCCTAACCCAACTCTTTCCAGACCCCAAACGGTATCGGATCTCTTTTGGCATTTGGCCAGCTTTTCTTGTTCGTGATACTGCCACGTAAACCCGGCCAACGATCCCTGTTGTCTCGTCTCTTTGGCTGCTATGGACCTAGTGAAAAGGAAACCGACTTGGAAGCACCCACGAAAGGTTCGTTTCTTGCCCGACACTTACACGCATCCAACGAACATCACCATGACCGCGTAAAGTGGGTCCGATCATGGAAACGGGATATGATATCATAGCGCAGCGATGATGTTTTCGACAAACATCCGTCGTCGCGTAGTTTTACGGTCTCACGTCATCGTGATGGATCTGCCCCAATCCCAATAACTTATCCGGATATTTCCAATCTAATCAATGATAATCAGTGATCATTTCAGAAATCATCCCTCAAGTCGAAGAAACCAACGAGTTTGAGAACTCCAACGCATCGCATCTCACTAGAGCTCGCCGTTGGTCGCAAAAGGTTATGGCCAACGTGAACACCGTAGCCGAAGAGATTGAGCACGTCATCGGCAAAGCCTCCATTCACCACTCGGACCATCAGTAAGTTGCACTTCTTCATT